GTGTACTAGCTCATGGCCCCTCCACCCCCGATATAGTGCTCACTCTGTTTGGGGGGTATCAGGGGAGATGTTGGATGGGAAATGTGGGAGAAGGCTCAGATCAGCCAGTTCAGGACAACTCCTCATTCTGCCCCCGAGTTATTGCTGGTCTGAGCTTCCAGGAGGCTGCTCGGGCTCCTGTCCTGGCGTGAGAGTCGGGAGAGCTCTTGTCAGCTGTGTTGAGCCCATGGAAATGGGGTTTTCGGGGTGGGGGAGAGCGCTTTGGGCTTGCTGCCACACACATGTGCTTTGCTGAAACTAATGGCAGACCACATGTGGGCCCCTGTCTGCTCTTTGGAGAGATGCTGGTATTTCAATGTGGTCGTCAACAGGCCAACATTCCATCCAAAACTGGCCCCAAGAACAAGGGCTGTTCCTCTGGGGAAAGCCGCAAAGTGCGCCTTTCTTGCTCTCAGAAGCACTGGCTGTCACTTATGGTGGGCTTCTGAAGGGCAGGGACCAGGGACCAGGTGTGTGTACCTGTTTCCAGGTACATGGAAGGTGTCCCATACAGATTTGAGTTGGCAATCTGAAGTGGGTGAGGGAAGCCAGCAGCCAGCGTGCTCCCAACAAGAGAGAGAGAGAGAGGAGGTGGGCAGGGGCCCTCCACCGCTCGCCTGCGGTTAAGAAGCGTTCAGACCTCAGGGTCCCAGCTATGGGTCTGTGGTGGGAGGAGAAATCAGTGGTTAGGGCGTGTGTTTTGAAATAAGACAGATCCAGGCTCAAATCCAACCACCTTCACCGACGTAAGGAAGTCATCCACTGCCTCCCTGACTCACTTCTCGGTTTCCCCATATCTGAGATGGGAGCACGAGAGCCGGCCTTGTAGGCAGAGAAGTAAGATGGTTTGCTCCAGGTGTGGCGCCCGCAAGACTACAAGCCGTGCCAGCTGCTGGTAGCCTTGGGGGGGACCACCTGGAATCGTCACTACTCAATCACTTTTGACCAGTTTTTCTTGGTGCAAACTGACTTTATCATCTCTCTGGTTGTCTTTGTGCTGCCATGTGGGACTGGGTTGTGTCAGGGCCCCTGCTCAGCCTCCTCCAAGGAGTCAGGGTCTAACTCTGTGCCGGCTCTGGAGATGAAGGGGCCTACTTCATCTCTTTCACCTTCTTCAGCCTCTTTCTTGCCAGGTGGGGAGCTGGACCTCCAAGAGGAAGGTTCTTGCCCAAAGATACACAACTTGCTGGACATGAACCTAGGCCCAGAATCTGATTCCTAATTCAGTTTTCTTTCCACTGCCTTAGCCTGAAGCTGCTGCCACATTTGGAGCTAGAGCTGGGGCCAAGTGGGTCAGCTAGCTACCTGCATGCGGTGCTAAGGCATCGTGACAAGGGGCAGTGGGATGGCACCTTCCAGAACTGCCCTGAGAGGCAAGCTGCGTGGGTCAGAAGAGTCTGTAGTCCCAGCTCTGACATTGAAGGGCTGGGTGAGCTCAGTTTCCTCATCTGTACAATGGGCAATGATAGCATCAACTTCATGGGGTTGTTGTGGGGATGAAATGAGTACATATTTGTGAATCATATTGTAAAATAATGTAATTTGTAAATATAACTTAGGAAAAAATTTTTTTTCTAATATTATAGAGCACTTAAAGAGTGCCCAGCATTTGGTAAGGGCCACTTTTGCGTTTGCTATTATTATTCTGAAGACCTTTGGGGATTGGTATTGCTGGTGTGTGTATGAGTTTGGGCTGATGCTGAGTTATTGCGAATAGAGAAGAGCTCTCTAGAATGGACCCCAAGATCCCCCTTTCCTCTACCCCATCCCCTCCTGCATCAGCTGTGGCTCTAAATATTTAAGAGGTAAATACTTTTTATATTAACAGCCTTAGGGGACTGGGGTTAGTGTGTCTTACTCATAAAGCATCCCAAGTTGCTAAACAATGTAGGGCACAAAGTAAAAGCACATGAGTCTTTGCTATATGAGTGAATTCATTTGTTCCCACCCTAAAGGATTTGAGTCTAAAGGAGGAATCTGAAAAACAATCAGAGTTGCTCTGGAAATCAATTCAGAATACTTTAAACTCGGCATTTTTTTTAAAAAATATATTCTTATTGATTTCAGAGAGGAAGGAAGAGGGAGAGAGATAGAAACATCAACGATGAGTGAGAATCATTGATTGGCTGCTTCTTGCACGTCCCCTACTAGGGATTGAGCCTGCAACCCAGGCATGAGCCCCTGACCAGAATCGAACCTGGGACCCTTCAGTCTGCAGGCCGATGCTCTATCCACTGAGCTAAACCGGCTAGAGCCAGCATTCTTAAATCCTCCCTAATTTGTCCTCCAAATCGTATGAATTGCTGTTTTCTATCTCTAAGAGCCAGGCTCCCCTCTCCATTATCACAACTCTACTCCATGCTTTTATTTTATCTCACCTGGAAAATTGCAACAGACTCACCTTCTGCCCTTGTCCCCAGAAGCCAAAAGAAGGACTACCTTAAAAATAAATTAGATCAGATCCCTCTCCTGCCCAAACACATCAGGAACTCTCCCCTTTGCCTCCAGGACAAAACCCAACCCCAGTGGTCAATAAGCTCATACAAAGATGCTAAGCATCACTAATTATCAGGGAAATGCAAATCACCACCACAGTGAGACAGCACTGCACACCCACGCTGATGGCTATCATCAAAAGGACACAATCTGCAGGGTTGAGGAGGATGTGGAGAGACTGGAGCAGTGGTCGGCAAACTCATCAATCAACAGAACCAGATATCAACAGTACAATGATTGAAATTTCTTTTGAGAGCCAAAATTTTTAAACTTCTAATGCCACTTTTTCAAAATAGACTTGCCCAAGCCGTGGTATTTTGTGGAAGAGCTACATTCAAGGGGTCAAAGAGCCGCATGTGGCTCGCGAGCCGCAGTTTGCCAACCACGGGACTGGAGCGCTCATATATTGCTGGTGAACCGTAAACCACTGCAGCTGCTATGGGAACAGCCTGCAGCTCCTCAAAAGGCTTAAACATAGGATTACCACATGGCCCAGCAATTCCACTCCTAGGTGAATACCCAAGAGCTAAATCCTGATCAATTTTCTAGAAAACACTATTAATGCTGAATCTTCTCCCCGTTTTCATTTCAATTTTGAAGCCTATTTGATTCTTTCCCATCTATATTTCATAACAAAGTTTCTGGCTACCAAGCATGTATTCTTGGACTACAATTTCCACGTGGAGATTTTATCACAACGCCTTCGTTCTCTCCTCCTCCCCTCGTTTAGGCAGACACATTTTTACCTTGTGTAGTATTTGGCCTTATTAGTTTTATTTTGCTATATTGTCTTAACGAAAATGTTCATTACAGATTTAATGAAATACTGATAGATTGCATAGATTTCTCAAACATGTTAAATAAGTTTTAAATAAATAATAATGTACACAGTAGGGAAAAAATGCAGGCAAGAGGAACAGGTATACAGAGGAGAGGGGGTGTGTCTCCTAGGGCAGCTGCAGTTGATCCACGAGAGCCCTGGACCTGTGCTGGCTGGCCCTCAGAGATCCAGAGAGGTCATGGGGCCAGGTCCTCAGGTTCTGGGCCAGCCTGCCATCATATGCAGGCAATCTCATCTCTCCTGCTCAGCGGAGAGCCATCTGCTCTGCAGCCAGCACTCCCGGTAGCTGGGGGTACATCCCCCTGAAGGAGACCCCACTATCACACATAGTCACCAAGTTATCTCGGTGACTACTCTTTTTGATCAAATGCTTTTTTTTTTTCTTTTCTGAAAAGCAGCCATGTGTAAATTATTCATTGTCATTGTATCTCCAATAGCCCAACAGATTGCCAAACTTCCATAAGCTGAAGGAATTGTGTCATCTGCTAACCCAAGCTCGGTCTTCAGTACCTTCAGAATCACTTCTCTCTTGGACATCTTTAACCTGTTGATATTTTTCCATCTGATCAAGCATATTTTTTAGGCTGTGAGGTAAGTGAATAGAGCAATGCTTTCTATCTGGTCATCTCCCCTAGCCTATGTTTCAATGTCCCAAAGTCTAACAGAACAGGGACGTTGCCCAGAACTGAACTCAACACTTTGGAAGCTTATTTTTAACTTTTTTTTTTTGTACCCCTGGAGTACCCTCCAGCCTGAGTGTGCTGTTGGGATCCTGTCTCTTCCATTCCAGATGTTTCGCCCTCCTCCAGGGGTGGAGTCCCCACACTAGCTGCAGCTGGGAACTTGGCCTCAGGCAGCCTGGAGAGCAAGGCTTCCCCCATCTTTCCCTGCAAAATCAAGGCTTCCCCCACCTTTTTCCTTTTTTCTTTTTCTTTTTTTAAAAATATATTTTATTGATTTTTTACAGAGAGGAAGAGAGGGATAGAGAGTTAGAAACATCGATGAGAGAGAATCATTGATCAGCTGCCTCCTGCACACCCCCCACCGGGGATGTGCCCGCAACCAATGCACATGCCCTTGACCGGAATCGAACCCGGGACCTTTCAGTCCCCAAGACAACGCTCTATCCATTGAGCCAAACCGGTCTCAGCACCTTTTTCCTTTTTTCTAAGGTGACTTCCAGGCCTGCAGAGTTATAAAAAGTTCTTATGTGTCCTTTTCTGGCAGTTGGACAGCTGCAGAATGCCAATTGGCAAACACTTTTATCCAACCCAAGGCTTGGCATTTGATGGGCAAACGCAGCTGAAGGTTATCACAGATTTGTCCTAGCAAGGTTTGTTAACTCATAATAAAAATTCAACATAAAATGTGCTTTGCTAAATACCCCTTCCCTCAAGTGTCATGGACAGAGCACCGCCAAATTCCATGACAGGCATGTGTAGCATCAGAGACAGGCTCTTGGAAGGTAATTAGGGGAACGAACCCCATGGGGAAGGAGGACAAGCCACCAACCTTAGCCACCCCGCCCTTGGAGTGGGCACCCCCTGCCTGGGAGGATAACTCAGCCCCGTCTCAGGATGTGACTTCAGGGAACTCATTTCTTTCTGCTCCTCCCCCAGACCCCATGGCGTCTCTCCCAGGCCTGCAGAAGAAGACACTGTTCAAGTCGGGAGCACTGGCCTGCAGAGTCCCTGCTCTGCTCTACCTGCCGCAGCAGAAGACTCTGCTGGCCTTCGCAGAAAGGCGCAAGAGCAAAGAGGATGAGAACGCAGATCTGATTGTCATGCGCAGGGGCAGCTATAATGAGTCCACCCACCAGGTCCAGGTAAGGCAAGATAAGGCTACATCAGCTCCGCTGGGAATATGGGGACCATGACTTTCTTAGATGGCGGGGTTCTGGGGACAGATGGAAAGGAGACCTTGTATCCCAGGAGGGATTCAGGGCGCTACCATGGGTGGGACAAAGAAAGTTCCCCAAAGTGGTCACCCAGAAAATGTGGGTTCACTGGGACCGAGTCCAGTTGGCCTGGCAGCAGGATGGCTTCAGTGCAGGATGGTCAAGTCCAGGGAAACTGACGCTCAGAAAGGTTTTCCTGTGTAATTGAGGATCTAGGGAGGACTAGTTTAGAATTCCGTAACTGGGGTTGTATCCTTTGAGTAAAATTAACCTGGGGAGTGGGACGTGGGAACGGTTGGAGTGATTGCTGTGTTCTAAAAACCCAGCAATGTAGATCAAGTAATTGATTTTGACAAAGACATCCAAGGCTGGCGTATCACATATTACTATTAGTATTATCATTACTCTGTGGTCATTATTACATAGCAGCTGTTTAGAGCATGGGGTTTGAAGCAGATGGACCTGGGTTCAAGTCCTGGTTTTATCAGTTAGAGGTATGGCCTTGGGCTACTCACCTTCCTTATCTAAACCTTCCATTCTCCAGAGGTAAACTGGAGCTAATGATACCTGTTCCCCAGGAATTAGGGGTTAGGCTTCGCGGCCCAGTATCTGCCTTTAGAAGGCTCACTGGGGGACAGGTGTTAATGAGTGAGGGTGGATGGCAGAGCTGCCGCCTATATGACATAGACTTTGGGATTCTGGGAGTCCTAGTGTCATGTAGTTGCCTCTCTTAGGCTATATTAATACCCTGTTTCCCCGAAAATAAGACAGTGTCTCATATTATTTTTTTCTCCCAAAGTTGCGCTAGGTCTTATTTTCAGGGGATATCTTATCTTTCCACGCGCTAGGCCTTATTTTCGGAGGATGTCTTACTTTCGGGGAAACACGGTAGAGTATGGTGTATAAAAGATGGGAAGTGATTGTCATATTCTGTCCCACACAGGTCAGACTATTGTAGTTACTACTAGGGCTTTACTTTTAAAGAATGGGAAGTTGGCCTGGGAACCAGGATGAAGCTGGGAATGGCTCGTGCCCAAAGGATCTCTGATCTGAGGTCTAGCCCACCGTAGATGCCCTGATACATGTTGGTGGGAATGAGGCAGCAGACATTCAGGAGGAGTGGGCTGCTGTGCAGGGGGTGAGGTGGAGCCTGGCTCCCACAGCTCTGGGAGGTGATGTGAGTTGAGCGAGTGGCAGGTGAACACTTCCTCCATGACCTTTGACCTAACCCCATGAGACACCCCCCCCACCCAGAGTGCAACTCTGTCACTGTCACTGGTCATTTCAAGGCAGTGCTTGTCTTTCTTCCTCTCCTCACATTCAGTGGCAGGCTCAGGAAGTGATTAACGATGCCCAGCTGGAGGGCCACCGGTCCATGAACCCATGTCCCTTGTATGATGAGAGCACGGGGACCCTCTTCCTCTTCTTCATTGCCATCCCAAGTAATGTCTCTGAGCAACACCAACTCCACACCAGGGTCAATGTGACGCGCCTGTGCCAAGTCACCAGCACTGACCATGGCAGGTCCTGGAGCCCCACCAAGGACCTCACAGACTCTGCCATTGGCTCGGCCCACGAGGAATGGGCCACCTTTGCAGTGGGCCCAGGGCACTGTCTGCAGCTGCACAATGAGGAACAGAGCCTGGTGGTGCCAGCCTATGCCTACCGGAAAATTTGTGACGATGCGCAGCCCAGCCCCGCCGCTTTCTGCTTCATCAGCAACGACCACGGGCTCACATGGGAAAGAGGCAACTTTGTGGCCCCGGAAATGGTGGAGTGTCAAGTGGCTGAGATTGGGAGTGCAACACAGAGGATGGTATATATCAATGCTAGAAGCCCCCTTGGGTACAGGATTCAGGCCGAGAGTGTTGACGACGGGCTTAATTTCAGGGAGGCCCAACTGGTACAGCAGCTTGTGGAGCCTCCCTATGGCTGCCATGGGAGTGTGATCGCCTTCCCCAGCCCCAGCGAGGGAGCAGAACCCTCAGACAAGTGGCTGCTCTACACTCACCCGACTGACTCCCAGCAGAGAATCAACCTAGGTGCCTACCTCAATACACGGCCTCCGGCCTCTAACGCCTGGTCCCACCCGGCTCTGCTGGCTGAGGGCAGCTGCGCCTACTCAGACCTTCAGAGCCTGGGTGTCGGCCCCGATGGCTCACCCCTGTTTGGGTGTCTATACGAATATGATGACTATGAGGAGATCATCTTCCTCATGTTCACCCTGAAACAAGCCTTCCCAAATGAATTTCCGGCTACCTCCCTGTGAGCCTGCCATGTGCTACCTCCTATTCTTGCCCCCCTAATCATGCAAATACCCTGTGACCCAGCAATTCCACTCTGAAGTATACATCCAAGAGAAATGCTTGCATGTAGCTGCCAAATACATCCCACACCGAGTTTCTCCCAATGTTAGTATCTTACATAACTGGTGTATTAGTCAAAGCTAAGAGATAAACATTGCTCCATTACTATTACCTGAGCTCCAGAATTTATTTGGATTTCACCAGTTTTTCCACTAATACCCTTTTTCTGTCCTAGGATCTAATTCAGGATATATTTAGTGCACTGAGTGAAACGAATTTTTACTATAATTTGTGTCCATAGAGATACTCACATACCCAGAGATTGGTGGACAGCTACAACAGACCCTTCCGCTTCACTCACCTTCTCCTAAAAACTACTTGTTGAACATATAAATAAGCAAGCAAATGCCAAGAAAATGTGCTTCAGGCCTGGACTGCTGGATTGCTGGACTGCAAATGTCAGAAGTTCAGCCTTTAAAAACTCTAAAAGGTAACCCCCAGATCAATTACATCAGAGCTCCAGGTCTAGGCTGTGGCACATTTTCAGAGGGACTTGTCAGTTTTGAGCCCAATGCTAACTAAACATTTTCCTTCATGACATTGCCTGGGACATGGAGGACTGGTTTGGAAACTGTGTGTGTGTGTGTGTGTGTGTGTGTGTGTGTGTGTGTGGTACATGGTATTGAGAGCTTCATGCTGAGATCTCACCTATTGCCTCAAGTATTACAAAGACTTTGCAGAGCTAGTCTACTAAGGACCCACGGAATAGATTGGAGTCCACACCACCCACTTCAGGCACCAAGAGTTCAGTTTGTTCCCTGGGATGGCTGAAGGCCACCAGACCCGATGTTGCTCTCGGAGATGAGAATTCAACAGTGACAAGACACCCTCAAGAAATCCTCATCTCATGGAATAAAGTGGAAAATAAACACATAAGCAACTAAAAAGGAAATGCAACTCTACTCATTAGTGATAAAAATAACATAGAAGGGAACAATATGATCAAGAGCAGTGGCTATTGTACCTGGATCATCAGAGACTGAATCTCTGAGGAAGTGACATCTTAACAAAGGTTCAGAAGAGATAATACATTTGATTGTTCTCCTCAAGGAGTCATCACCATGGACTGAGGACCTGGCTGGATGTGGGTCCACGGGACATATTCTCCTACCTTTTCCCCTGTGGTTTCCCTTGGAGCCCACTCCCTGGGTTTCTACCTGTACTTAGAGTGGCCCCTGGAGCTCAGCATCACTGGGGAAGTTGTGAGAAATGCAAGTCCTTGGGTCGGCCTGAGTCCTACAGACCCTTTGAACCTGAAACTCAGGGCCCAGCAATTTGTCTTAACAAGCCTTCCAGGTGATCTGGTATGTGCAAGATTTGAGAACCTGGGGAAACCCTGGTGTAACCCAAACCTGGCCAAGACTTTGCTCAAGATGTGGTATGCTCCTCCCAGTTCTGTAAGACCACCTTGAGCATCCTGGTGGTCTTACTGATGTCCCACAATGGCTGCCTGTGGGACTCAAGACCTAGAAACTCTGGGGACCTCAGGTGAAAGTGGTTGATAATTGGGCTAGGAGTAAGAGGCTAGTAAAGCTCTCTCTCTCTGCCAGCAGCATATATGGATGGAGCAGGAAGAATATACTGCTGGAGACATCCTTCTAATTTGGTCAAAAGCATTAGAAGAGGATGTGTTCTGAGTCTGGAATAAAGATCTTTGGAGAACCTTCCCTTGATAACAGTGGGCGTGCATACCTTTTGTTTTCTGCTGGTCTTTTACTGCCTTACTGTACCCCCCGACCCCCTGTAAGATGTGGTCCACTCCTGACATGACTCTTTCTCTGTCATACATCTATGCAATGAACTACAACATCATTGGGCTCTTGGAAGGTAAATCTGGGTCCTTCTTGGCCATTCTGTAACAAACATATGTTTCTAATTGACATAACTCAATAGGAAGGCTGGTAATGACTTTTTACAGGATTCCAAAGTCCTAAAGCTACACAAAGAACTTCTTCAGCCTTTGTGTGTTCAGAGTCCTCAGCTGGAGCCACCTCTGTCTGCTCTTGGCAAGTCCACCACCTGCCTTTGTTCCTCTGACAGATGCATGTGCCAGGTGCATGATGACATGGGACATGCGCATACACAAAGTTAGCCATTGGACAGCTGTTCCATGACAGCAGAAACTGTCTGAAGTTTGTCTATTGATCATGAAAAAGTCATTTTCAATTGAGAAATTTGAAGAGCCACCTTTAGACCAGGTCCACTATAATTATATTAGATTCTGTCTCCTCCCCTAAGAATCATAACCATGCCAAAGCCACACACACATGTGCACATACACATGTGCACACACATGCACATGTATGCATATATTCACATAGAGTTTCTGCTCCTATCCTCTCCTCCTCCAGGGACCAGTTTGTCATGTTGATTTATGCCACAAAAGACTGTGCCTCCTAAACAGATGCCCTGGATGGACACTAAGATTGCTTGCAATTCCTCCCAGGAGACACCTTCCTCTGCATTGGACACCTAGGATAGGGTGATGGTGGAGGTCAAGAAGGCCCCTGCTAGAAGTGCATGTGGGGCTTAAGAGAGGAGAGAGAGGGCTGGAGCCTTGTTCAGGGTGCTCGCCTTAGAAGGCCCAGAGCCTGCCCCTGTGGAGAGACCGGGGAGGTGGTCTGCTAAACCCAGTGGTGCTGATAGGAAGGGTCTGCCTCTCTCAGGACAGACCCTCTTTCTGCACAGCTGAAATTAACTGAGACAACATGTGGCCAAATAGATTAGCTGAAACGTGTTCATTCTTAGAAGTAAGGTCACATATAGCAGCAAGACGCAGGCCAGACCTTTAGAGATGAAAAGTGACCTTGAATCAAAGTCCATCTGAAGTTTGGTGACTTCCTCAAGACCACATAGCCAGGTAGAAGCAGGGCCAGGAGAGCAACTGGGTTTTCTGAGCCCAGACCAATGTTCCTGCCTCTCTTCTGAGTTGTCTCTATTGTCTGTGCCTGGACATCCAAGAAGTACAAGATCTGTGTGTCCAGGTTTTGGGATGTAGAGTTCTGCTTGGTCTGTCTACAGAACCTGTGCCCTCAGTTCCTGGGCACGGCGCCATCTTTCCTTCATGGCTTTGCCAGAATGGGCAAGGAAATGGCAGCTTGGATGGCAGCCTTGGTCTGAAGACTTGCCAGCACAGGGTATCTAAAAAGCCAGCGATTCATGCCCAGCCGGGAAGAGTGAAGAGCCCAGAGCTCCAAGGCCCTATTCAACATCGTGAGGTTTCCATGCTGGAGCCAGATTGCCCCCCCGCAACCCCCACCATGTGAAGAAGAAAGGAAGGAATCCAGTATGTAAATGGGATACTTGCGTCACACTGCTCAAAGAGGTGAGAAAGCTGACTGTACTTTTGGCAAAGAGTTACTTCCTCAAATTCCATTTTCGTACTGTCTTAGGGGAGTGTTTCAAAGTACTAGATGCCGAACATTTAGAAGTGCAAAGAAGTAAGAAAAAAATTCCCACAAATCCCACTAACCAGAGGCACATTTCCTTCTGGTCTTTCATCTGTGAACTTTTTTTCCCCTAAAACTGAGATCGTGATGCAGAGGCAATGCAGGATGGTACCTTTTCTCCCTATTTGACTTTATATATAATAAATATTTCCTCCACGTTATTTTCTTGCAAAAGACACATGCCATGGATAACTTAACCATCCCTTGAGTATTAGAAATTGAAGTTACTTTAATTTTTTCTATTATAAATACACTGAGATGAATATCTTTGTGAGCAACTCTTGGTGGTCATCTTTATTATTTCTGCCCATTAAATCCTCTAAAGGGAATTATCGAGTCAGAGATGAACATTTGAAATCTCGTGAAATGTGTTGCTTGTAGATGTTAAGTACAACTCCCATTATGAGTTAAATTCTCCTGTCCTAAAATGACTTTCTTCTTTTATACTTTTAGACACCTGAGCTCTGAGCATTTGTTCTTTAGTTCATGTCATGGCCTTTGCTTCTCCCTGATGTCGTCTATAATCTAAGTATATAATATAGAAAGTTCTAGAATCTGTAGAGGTCAGAAAGACCCTGGATATTCTTTGGTCTAACTTTGTTCATTTGATGAGAGTTTAACTCAGGCCTGGGGAGGTGATTGGCTTGTTCAAAGTCATACAGTCCTGGCCTAGATGGTATCAGGTCCCTGCAGGCACCCCGCTTCCCCACCTCTGCCCTGGGCCAGAAGCTCAAGGTTCTCAGCAAATGCAGATGGAATCCCGACCATTGTAACCTCCTTTCTTTTTCCTTCACACCTGAAAGGTCATTGGTTGGGTTTTCAGGCCCTCTTCCCTTCTGTACAAGGAGGCTCTGGGTCAGAGGTTACTCTGCTGGCCATTGTCATCTGAACATTTCCATTCATGAAGCATGTTCTTTCTTTCTAGATCTTTCATTGGCATCCCCAGTGTGGTTTTATAACACCAGGGCCACCTGGAATTCAGTGAGCACATAATTTCTAATGTGCTAACCACTTATACTTTTGTTGTTGCTGTTGTTAATCCTCACCCAAGGATATTTTTTCCATTGGTTTTTAAAGAGAGTGGAAGGGAGGGGGAGAGACACAGAGAGAAACATCAATGTGAAAGAGATACATTGATTGGTTCCTCCTGCACTTGCCCAACTGAGGCAGGGGATCTTGACAGTAACTGAGGTAGGCACCCTTAACCAGAATTGAACCTACGGCCCTTCAGTCCTCAGGCCAATGCTCTACCTTCTGAGAAAACTGGCCAGGACTACTTACACTTTTTTTTATTCTTTGATCCAACCAGAAAACATTTATTGAATACTCATTATGTGTTAAGTACTGAACTGAGGGTATAAAAAAGTCTATTGGGACCTGACTGTGCACCATCAGGCATAATTCTAAGCCCTTTGTGTGTGCTTACTTTTAATCCTCATGACAACCCCATGAGA